GTGCATAGAACTCAAGTCAATGGGGGTCCAGGTTACCCAAGTCCAGCACACAGTAAAATTGGGCAGACTCACTGGCAGTAGTCACACTCTAGAAAGGGAGAGGCTTGGGTATCCCAACAGCAGAAAGATAGGCTTTGCTTCTTCTGGGAGAAGAGCGCTGCCTTTGTGAAACTCAGTCTGGTCTGGTAGGAGATTCAGAAAAGCAAGCTAGCTGCCTGGGCCTCCAGAATCAGACAACAAGCTTCAGAGCCATAGGACAGCAGCTTTCAACATTCCTCGAGGATCTCCTGGCTTATAACTGCTGTCACCCCCTTAAATAACCACCTGACTCATATCCATAGGTCACTCTGTTGCCGAAGTTCATCTGGATGACTCTCCAGTGCAATAGACAGAGTGGGAAGCATCCTCTTAATGAGCAAATGCACATAACAGCTCCTGACTGACTAGCATGGACTGGGATCATAGATCACAGATACCCCCCCCCCATGTACAGGAAAGACACTGCTTGAGCATGGGTACCTCTATACCTCCATGGCTGATTCTTGCTGCATTTGGAAGCCAGCACTCTGACATCTCTGGTAGGGTCATGTATGAACCAAAGACCAGCAGTTTATCCACAGGTCTGGCACATCCTTCTGAAAGCAAGATCAAACTTTTTTTTTCTGTCTCTCTCTCTTCTTTCTTTCTCTCTTTGTAGTATTGGTGACTGAATCCAGGGCTCCAGTCTTGTTAGGAAGACATGCTCTACCACTAAGCTATATCTACATTGTTAACCTTTTTACATTTGGGACTCAGTCTCACTAAATTGCTAGGCAGACCTTGAAGTTGTGATTCCCCGTCTCAGCCTCCTGAGGTGCAGGGATTGAGTGCCTATGCCACCAAGCCAACATTTCTGTCTGTCTATGGGCAGCTGGAGACTTGTACCATCTAATGACATTCAGTCAGTAACAAACCACATTGTGAGAGTGGCACATGACACACCTTTTCCATGTGTAGATGTGTTCACAAGGTGAATATTTGCTGCCATCCTGCAATAGTGTGGGTTCAGTACAGGGACCTGATCTTCAGATTCATAGCCTGGGAGCAGTGTGCAATGCCATATAGCCTGGTTGCTGGCCCACACCATCTAGGGTTCTGAAATTCTACTCTGTAAGGTTTGCACAAAGATGGAATGTCTTAGGGAGGTGTTTCTTAGGGCATTTGCTTCTCCTCAAGCCGCCTGCAAGTGGCTGGGTAAGAGCAGGGCTTGGGGCAGCAATTCATAGCAATCTCCTGGCTATAATGTGCATTAGCTGTGTGGTCTCCAGGAGAATCTGTCCATTTCTGAGCCCCCATTTCCCCGATGGAAAGCTGAGAGTTCTGTGAGTTTCAGAAGGTGAAGCCCAAATGAGCTCATCCATCTAAATACCTCTGCCCAGTACCTAGTCCAGCAGGAGTTCCCAGCGCTGGAGACTGAACCCAAGGAAATCCAGACCAAGACACTACTTCTTGGGAGCTTCCCTGGGCCTACTGCACAGCAATCTAACTTGCTCCTGACATGGTCATCATGTTCTATACACACGTCCTATATTTGCAATGTTCTGAAGGCCAGCCAGGATTTGTCTCCTCCCCCCCCCCCCCCCCCCCCGCCTCCCGTGACAGAATCTTGCCTGGGTTGGTTTCAAACTCACAGTAATCCATTTGTCTTAGTTTTCCAAGTATGGAGATTACAGGCATGAGCAGCCTGGCCTGCCTTAACTACCCTGGTCTCATTAGGACTTACTGTGAATTCACTCTGTAATAATCCAGAATGTTCGTCTGTCTTTGGACAGAGGTTGGCACAGCTCAGCACAATGGACACTTTGACTACAGATTGTGGAATTTTTCACCTCCCCAGCACCAGCCCAAAGCCTTGTATGAGCAGGTGTAAAATAATAACCACTGAGCTGGTTACAGATGTGCTATTAAAGACATTTATATCCAAGCTGGGCAGTAGTGACGCCTGCCTTTGATCCCAGCACTTGGAGGCAGAGGCAAAACAAACTCAAGTAGGAGGTCTCTTACATCATAAACTTCAATGCTTAAAAACCCATTAAATTCTGTCCTATCAAGATCAAACACAGGACTGCTGAATTACTCTGAGCTGTCGAACTAAGAATGGACAGACACAACATATTATAGGGGTTAAATTTTCATCACACACAGATTTGCCCAGAGAAGCAATTCTCACCCTTACCACCAGAGGACGCTAAAGACAAACACATTTTCACCCTGGTGGCTAATGAGAAAAAGCTCTCTCAACACCCAGGTTCAGGGCACCAGCCACACAGCACAGGGCTTACTTCATATCTTCTACACTAGAAATGTTGCTAGAACATGGAAATGTGACCCAACTGCAAAGTTCCATCTAGTCAGTTTGCTTTATGTGTACATATTCATAAATTTACTCTTCAAATTACCCTAAATACAGACTTTATTAACCAAACAAGATGAAAAACTTTTACAACTGAAAATTAAACCATATAGTTAGCATTTTAGTTATCACCTACAAAATGTACACTATGACAAGTGTAAGGATCCATTGTCTCCTTAATCTTTCTGATCTTTGCATGTCGTTTAAAATGTTCATGGTAATAAATATGTCGTTTATATTTGATCATGTTCCTCATTTGAAGTCCACAGTTCTGTGGCTTTAAGCACGTCCACACTGCTGTGCAAGTGCCACCCATCTGCTCCTAGAACTCTTGTTACCAAACTGAAACCCCACAGCCACCACTAACTCCCCATTCTCTGCTCCATGCGTCCTGGAAACTACCATTTTACTTTCTGTCTCTATGAACATAATGCTTTTCTTTTTGAGACAGGATCTCAGGCAGCCCTTGAACTGCTGCTCCTTCTACCTTTGCTTCCCTAGCGCCTCCCAGGATGGCATGTGTGTACTTCCACACCTCGATCTCTAAGTTCGTCTTGTTTTATACAGTCTACAACTATGCCTCAAGATGGTCTCATAAACCCAGCAAGCTGACCTCGGCTTCTCAAATGCTGGGGCTATAAGTATTTGTCTGGCTTTAATTGGACAACATACACTTCTCATAACTTAAACCACACCATATTTGTTACTATTATAAATGACTTTTCTCATTGACATATGTCCTATGTTCATATATTGTGCACATCCATGTCCTTTTCTTTTTAAGGCTAAACAACATTCTACAGCATGTATAAACCTCATCTGTGACTTCATCCATCCCTCTGGGGACACCTTTTAGCTGTGGAATAATGTTATGAAATGGGTGTGCAAATGTTGGTTGGAGTTATACATTTTAAATTTATTTCTAATGAAAAGTTGTATATCATCATTTACTATATTATACTTCTGGCTTTACCAGTACTAGAGTTTGTCCTAGGGGATGCAAGTCTTTTAATATTTCTGATACTTCTGGGGGGCGGGTCAGATATTCCAGTGCTTCTTGGGAAGAATAAAAACAATAGAAATATTAAAATGATAATATTCTATATTTAAAAAGAACTAAGACAGCTGGGCGTTAGTGGAGCACGCCTTTAATCCCAACACTTGGGAGACAGAGGCAGGTGAATCTCTATGAGTTTGAGGCCAGCCTGGTCTACAGCTAGTTCCAGGACAGAAACCCTGTCTTGAAAAACAAAAACAAAAACAACAACCCCACAAACAAAAAAAAACTCAAAACAAAATAAAACAAAACAAAACAAAAACAGATGTGCAATGCTGGCCTGCAATCACAACACTTGTGTGTCTGCAGGAGGATCTGGTCACAGCCAGGTTGTGCTATAGGAGTCCCTGTCTAAGAAACAAAAGTAAATAAAACAAAACTGCATACACGAGGAGAAAGGCTTCACATGTCTTCACAAGCTTTGTTTTCTTTCTCTGTGGAATACGCTTAAATTCTGATCTGAAAAGTGTGCGTGAATTCTTCAAAGCAGGCTGACTGCAAATCCCAGGAGGGCCAAACTTTAGCGAAACAATCGAGGCCTTTGGGGCACCATAAAACTGATTTTTTGCCTCATTCCTGAAATAAATCCATCACTTATAAGGGGAATTTTGGAATCAGCTTTCAAAATTGCCACCAACATCCAGTGAACTATCATTTATTAATGATTATCTGCTGCCCAATATCCCTGCTAGACCTTAGGGAGCCAGAGGAAACACGAGACCAGGAATCTGTCCTGTGACTCTCAAAGAGAGAAACCTTTAGGGTTGGACATATTACAAGCCTCACCCCATTGCGGACACACTAGCTGGACACACTAGCTGGACCACACTCTGGCATCTCATTCCCAAGACCAGTTGGAACAAGTTACCCGCAGGGACATCTTCCCCAACACTTCAGGCCATGTCAAGTTTCAAGCGCCTTGGGACGAGTTATTTTAACAAATTAGAATCCGTGGAGCTATCTGCTAATTTGTGTCCGCCTCGAAGCAGGCTGGCTGCCGCTATTTATAGCTTGTTGCCCGCGGGGGTGGCTCTACCCGCCAGGCAGAGACCGGATTCCGGCTGGCCGGGGCTCCCCACAAGGCAACACCAGGGTGCGACCGACGCCCATGCGCGGAGCACCCAGACCACCCTGACAGCAGCTCGTGCCTCGCTCCCGGCTCTCTACTCCTGGGGTGCCTGCGGCCGGGGGCCGGGTCCTACTCCTCCAGGGGATCAGCTGAGCTGCAGGAGCCTGGATGAGGAGCGCGCGTAGTGCGCAGTGGGATGCAGATGTCTCCAGAGGATGCGGGCGCGCAGAAGGGCGCAGGTCCCTGCTATTCAGGAAAGGCCAGGGCAAGGGGCGCACGGGGGCGTGGCCTGCGCGAGGCGGGGGCAGGGAGGCGAGGCCAGCCCGGTGGGTGGTGGCGAGGGCGTGGCGGGCGGCGGGGCCGCGGCTTGGGGCGCACCAAGTGCGGCGCCTACTGAGGCGGTGGGGATGGCGGCCGGGGCGGAGAGGCTGGACCCTGGCGCGGGGCGCTGGTGGGAAGGGGCGCCGCACGAGTGAAGAGGGCTCCTTTTCAGAGCAGGCTGAGCCCCACTGGGTGAGGAGCGACGGTGCCGCCGCGGCAGAGCGGGGTAAGATGGACTGGGCGTCCCAGGGCCACACTAGGGACCCAGTAACACCCGGGGCGGCCGGACCGAGCAGTGCCGCCCTGGGCCAGGCCTGCTGGCGCCCCGACCATGGGAGGCTTTCGCGATCCTTAGTATAGTTGCGGGGCGCCGCTGGGCTAGGGAGCTGAGCCTCGGGAGACTTTGATAAACTTTGCTCTTCCTGCTAGGCTCCTATAGACCTAGGCTGAGCGAGCGCCTGCTCTCCTTGATGGATGGCCAAGGCTAGGTCGAGATGGTTTTCCTTGAGGTAGTATGCCCTTGGGCTGGAGAAAGCAAGGATGCCCCCTGTTTGGGCAGGAATCCTAAGGTCATTTTAGCAGACACCCCAGCTGCAGGCAGTAGCCAGCAAGTGTCCTTGGGCATTCGTAGTGTTTGGATTGAAGACAAACAAGGTGGGCTCACCTTTCTTCTAAGGCATTTTTTTGAAGTTAATTTTTTCTTCTTTAATACTTTAGTTATTAGTATCGTGACCCGGCTTCTTGATCTGTACGCAAACGCGTGGTGATGATGCCCACGTGTGATGAATGTACAGAAGAGTGCACTTAGCACTCTACAATGATCCTTTAATTAAGAGATGTGTAGTAACCGTAAACTGCAGTGGCTGGGCAGCTGTTTGCTTTCCGTCCACTCTTCACACTGGAGGCTGGAATTCACCCTCCTGGTCAGCCGTCTCGGTTCCTGAATATTTGTAGAAGGGACGTCAGCACTCCAATTTTCATTTTATCAAGATACCTTCCAAATGTGCCATTTAACAACAAGGAGGTGAATTGGGCATTGCCTCTCCCTTAGAATTAAAAACTACAGAGATTTGTTAACTGTGCATCACTTCCCAGACTGCCTGCCTGTGGTGCCGTGAAATATATTGCAAGACAAACATGGAAAGATTAAAGTGGAGTAAGGGAGGGACTTTTCTAAATACCAGTGTGTTCAAAGTAAAAATGAGCTAAGTTGGCACAAACTTCCCTGTCTCAGCAGTTTGGCCTCTGTTGAGATAAGCATCAAGCCAGGGCAATGCTCTGCCCAGTAGTGTGACTCGGTACACACACACACACACACACACACACACACACACACACACACACACACACACAATGGTCCTGTGGGGACAAACAGTGCAGTTTGCTGACCAGCACATGGCTGGAAGTGGCACAATTTAAAAAATGGCAGGAAACAAAAACTAGCTCTTTGCCAGTAAGGAAAGAATTTTGACCAATTTCCACGAATGATATTATTTTAGGTTCTTGTGTTTGTTTTGCATAGTTAAATGACATAATATGGGTGTGAAACTTTCTCATGGCCACTGTTGGCTGCCTGGCTCATGTGGAAAATTGGGACTACAGCCTCCCTTGCTTGAACACATGCTTAAAAGTACATAGGACACACAGGCGCAGTACAGTATCTACTTTCACCATTTCCCAGTCCTACAGTACATTAATAAACACATTCATAGCTTGCCGACATGTGTGAGGACCGAAAGGCCTGGGGAGGGTTTCACCTGTGCAGAAAGCCTGGCCCCAGGATCTGGGTGTGAAGAAACCAGCCAAATTCAGCTGGTGGCTTGACTCACCTGTGTCTGTCTGTCACTCTGGTTTGCCCTGCTAGTCCCCAGGACTAGGCAGTCAGGGTGTATATTCCTATCTGTTTTCCCCACACCTGCCTCTTCTGTCCTCTGCAAACCAATGTGAGGAGCACACTTGCTCTCAGTACATATAGATGAGTGCTCACACTCATCTACATTTGATGCTTCCTGGAGAGAGAAACATACACTGTCATCGTTTGTGGGGCTGTAGCACATGTGTGTCTATGAAAACAATCTGTGGTTTTCTTATAACGCATAAAGGCAAGAAAATAAAGTTTCAGCTACACTTTCATTGTTACAGGGTGGGAAATTTTCCATTATGGTAATTAGATTAGCAGCCTGCAGCTGGCTTTTAAAAAGCTGCCACAGCTTCAAAAGTATGAATAATTGCAGAGAGTTGTTTTCATACCGGTGTATTTTATTCTTCGTTTTTGTTGGGTTTGGGGGGGGGTGAGTTTCATTATGTAGTTCTGGATTGTCTAGAACCTCCTTAACCTCCTATGTAGACAAGGCTGACTTCAAACTAACAGAGGTCTGCCTGCCTTAGCCTTCTGAGTGCTGGATTAAAGTCCTGTGCAGTCATGCCTGATTCATGTACTTCATTCTTTTATTTGAAGAATTAGTGGTTTATTTAAACCATTTACAAACTAATGGTGTTAAATATGAAAACTGCTTATTTTTTTCTTTGGTCCACCGTTGTCTCCATAAATTAATTCTAGTCTTATTCATGAAAATCTGTTTCTTGTTAACTTAAAAATGAATCTTTAGCTGGGTGTAGTGTCTCACACCTTATAATTCCAGCACTTGGGAAGCTATGGCAGGAAGATTGCCATGAGTCTGAGGATAGCCTAGGCTCCATGATGGGCCAATTTAAGATGAAAACAAACACATTTTAACATGCAGTTTCTGTTCTTTAAAAAGTGGAAAATAACATTCTATAACTATCTAGGTATAGGTTTTGTTCACTACGAGTAGAAATATTTGGATTATTTGCATTTAAAATGATGTTTCCAGTGATATGATGAATGAGGTCACTGGACTGACTGTCCTTAATTCTTTTTAGGGAGTGTGTGTGTGTGTGTGTGTGTGTGTGTGTGTGTGTGTGTGTGTGTGTGTTTGGGCTCAGGCATGTGTTACAGCACATATGGAGTAAAAGGACCAGACCCAAGAGTTGGTGCTGTCCTCCTAACTTTATGTAGAGTCCAGTGACTGAAAGTGGGTGACCAGGCTTGTTCAGCAAGGGTTTTAACTGCTCAGCCATATCTCACCAGGCCCCAGGGACTTTGGTGGAAGCTGGAAATGTCCCCTTTTAGACACTCTTCATGAGCAAAAGCTTACAATGTAACCTGTCTGTCTTAACATACTTGTTGAAGCATGTAGAATGTGATATGATGTCTAAGGCCAGCTGCTGGGACTTGAGAAGTGTACCTGCTGCTTACCCCCTCAAAGGCATGTGGAAGGGGACTGTGACAAAGAGTAGCAAGTGAGGCTTCTTGCTGGCGTTGGCATTATGGGCTGTGAAACTTTAGGCAAATCTCAGTACTCTCTCAGGGCTTCCAGTTCTTGGTCTGAAAATAAGGAAGACCAACCAGACACTTCCCAGGCTCTTGGTGCCACAGGGCTATTTTCATACACCAGGTACAGTGATAGAAAAGCTGCACAGGCTGCCTGACTTAGATGTTTTAGGCATACCAACAGCCTGTTGAGATCTCTACTATGTTAAAGCATCCCATAATTTCTTTTTATATAATCAATTTTTATTTTGTGTTCATTGGTATTTCGCCTACATGTATATCTGTGCAAAGGTGTCAGAAACCCTGGAACTAGAGTTACGGACAAGTGTGATATGCTGTGTGGTTGTAGGGAATTGAACCTGGGTCCTCTGGAAGAGCCAGTGCTCTTAAATCACTGAGCCATCTTTCCAGCCTTCTATAGTTTCTTTTGCTGCAATATACCCTTGCCCAAACCATCCCTTAGAAAGTAGAGTGTTGTAAGTCCCATTTCACTTGAAGGTAATCATTTTCATTATTCAGGTATTACACTCGGAAGAAGTTGAAATGAGTCCATTAAAATTAACAAATGATGTTTAGCAAAACACTTTGCTAAGTGACAATTCTATTGGGTCTTGTGAATCTTTCACAGAAGTCATTTAAAAGAATTTCAGTGCTATTTAGTAACCTGCAGAGGAACTAGAGAGTTGACCAGGGTGGGGTGGGGTGGGGGCCTGGATGGCAGAGGATCCAGTGTGATATGCAAACCTTGGAAGCTGTCACCATCTTCTAGTGGCATCCCAAGGCTTGGCCAGTTGCTTGCATTCTGTCAATTTTGGAACTCTGCAAAAGAGCCACTCAAAGATTATTTCCAGAGAGAATATTTATTCTATTCAAATATCTCAAAAAATTAATAAAATGTAAGTGTATTGTTTTTTAAACAATTTTTAAAAATATGTGTACGTGCTTTGTCTGAATGTGTATATATGTGCATTACACATTCATGCCTGGTGCCCTTGGAGGTCAGAAGAGGGCACCAGATGCCCTGGAATTGGAATTGTGGATGGTTGTAAGTCACCATGTAGACTCTAGGAACCCTCACCCCTTCCTCTGCAGAGCAACAAGTGCTGTCAATCACTCAGCCATCTCTCCAGCCCCAAGGCCTTCCTATTGAAGTGAACACATGTTTCCATTACCTACAAATTAAAGTTAGCTTTCATTGCAACCAGGTGTGACGGTGGTGCCCCTGCAGTCCCAGCTACTAGGGAGGCTGAGGTACAGGACTGCACCAGCACAGGAGTTCAAAGCCAGACTGAACAGCATAGTCAGACCTTGTCTCAAGAAGTCAAATGGAGGCTGGAGAGGCCATCCAGTCAAGCACTTGCCTTGCAAGCATGAGACTTAATACCTAGACCCTGTGTAAAAGTGCCAGGCAGGACCATAGAGCAGTAGCTCAGCCATGCAAGCATGAAGACCAGAGTTCAGTTACCCAACACCCACATCAAAAATAAAAGGCCAGGTATGGCCATAAGCATGCCATGTTCTGTCAGGGAAGGCTGTCCTGGGACACACACACACACACACACACAGTTACTTATAATAAAGTAAGATTGAAATCGTTCTCACTAGGCCTTTAAATTCCAATAGGTCAAAAAAGGAAACTGATTCACAGTTCCTGCTGAGAGATGAAGTGTCATCCCATGATTCCTGTACTTAGCTGGGCATCTACTCAAGACCATCAACTCCTCAGGCAACTGAGCAAGAGCCCCACATGGCAGGAATCTAAGAAGCAAGATGAGAACACAGATGGCGCATACTGTTCTAAGTACTTCCTCTGTGTTCTTATCTCACAAGCAGTGCACACAGACTAGAAGTGTGTCTTCAGGGCCAGGATA